ATCATCATCATCAGCAACATCATCGTCATCATCATCATCATCATCATCATCATCATCTTCATTATGTAAATAAATACACAGACACTAGCAGACATTTGTTAATTATAGGTGTATCATTATTGTTACACGTTTAGCTGTTAGTATAGATTTCTCCACCGATATTACGATAATTGAGAGAGGGAGAAAGGGGTAGGAGGTGCGGGAGTCAGACTGAGAGTAAGATATTTGGAGAACGGAGAGTGATAGAAGGACAGAGGAAGAAGGTCTGAGCAAAAGAAAGAGATCGCGCGAGTGACAAACAGCTCGACACACACACACACACACACACACACACACACACACACACACACACACACACACACACTCGTCAATACGTAGATAGTAGCAGTGGATATATGTGTCCCGTAGATCTGGCAGGCCCCCTTCCTTTTTCACACACCGTCTCGCTTGCACACACGCACACACATCTTGCTGAATTGGACTAGTATAATAATATAGAGTAGTAGGCGAGGGCCGCGTGCGTACGTACGTACAGTCGGCATGCCGGTCATGCATATAACTCAGGTCATAACTCCGGTCATAACTCTCCTATATGCTCTCACCCGGTCGTAGGTATTAGGCCGTAGTGGCCTCCCAAAATGTGCCACTGCAGAAAAATGTAGGATCACCCATTGATAATATCAGAGTGGCGGTTAGTGTGTGTGCCGCAGGCAGGCATGGCCAACGCCGCGATCGCGAAGCCGATGCGAATTTTTTGAAATTTAGAGCCTGGAAATGGCATTTCCTGCATTTTCAGGCTATGTTGAAAGCAACCAATTCTGATAATTTTAAAAGGTCAATTTGTAAATTTCAAAGAGGAATGTAGCTAAAGCTGATGTTTTGACTAAAGTATCTAAACTCTAAAATATATATTATGAGTATGATAACTAATAAAACATTGTTTACAAAATTGTATATACTATCAGTACATAATTATGAAAAATAATATAGTTTTTAATATTTCCGTTCCGGTGCATCGTATTTCAGAATACGTTGAAGCCGGGCCGTGAAGGCATGCATGCAACGTGTTTGTGTGTGCGTGCATGCGTACGTGCGTGCGTGCGTGTGTTGTCTGTGTGTGTGTGTGTGTGTGTGTGTGTGTGTGTGTGTGTGTGTGTGTGTGTGTGTGTGTGTGTGTGTGTGTGACAACAGTCCGCCTGCTCCCCCATGCCTCCCCCCTCATCGCTCACACAAAGCTCTTACAGACACAAAGCCTCAGTACCAGCGATCCCTGGATAGTCAGCCAACCAAGAAGCTGCAGGTTTCCCACCTGATGTTCCCCTCCCACCCCACCCATCCAACTATCCACCACTCCACTAACCACCACCCACCCATCCACCCATCCACCCAAACATACACCCACCCACTCAACACCCTGCCAACCCTAACCCTAACCCATCCAACTATCCACCACTCCACTAACATACACCCATCCACCCACCACCCAAACATACACCCATCCTCTCAACACACTGCCACCCACCCACAACACACTCAACACCCAACCACCTACCACCCACCCACCACACACTCAACACCCACTACAAGGGTTCTCCCTACGTTGCATAAACCGGGCGCGCCCGTCCCGTTTGGGGAAACTCCCCCCACGTTTCAATCGTTGCGCCCCGTTTAAATTACCTCCGCCGCCAATTAAATTCCACCACAATAAAAGTTTGACAGCGCGGGAATCGATCGTCAAGAATTCCCATTCGACCAGGTCTCCGGACGCATGCACTGCAGACCACACACAAGTACAAACAGTCAACCTGTCCCAAACCTTAACACAAACTGTACCGACTCGGCTGTCTTATATACAAGTACCCCAAATAGTGCAGCAGATAACCACAACAATTGTGCATTTTATGAGAAAAGC